TTAAAATTTTGTTTAGATTGGCCGATATGATCAGCATAACATGCTGACCGAACGTGGATCCTACGTCTGCTTAATCTCAAATTAATCTCAATTTTGGTGATTGCATTGCCAATTAGTTTGCATTGTGTACTAACATTCGGAGGGCGGTCGACCCGTGTCCGACAAAAAATATAAAAATTAAAAATCAAATTTTCCAATTGCTTTCAGAGAGAATTTCAAGCTCTCCGAGTGCATATCTGACATCTGGATCCTTTTACAACTAACTAAATCCATCCCTACAACCCTATATATGAGGTGTGACAATTAAGTAATGAGGCTAATTCCATAAAAACCGTATATTTGGAAATTGTTCTACAACTCTGCCAATCCCCTAAAAAGTAGTCCCTTTGGGCGTGTTCCAGCGTGTTTTCCATGCTTCGTAACATTTCTGAAACGCTTCGATTGGGATGTCCGCGAGTACCCTCGTCAGGGCCGCTTGGATGTCCTCGATCGATTCAAAATGGTATCTTTTGACCACTGATTTTGTTCTAGGGAACAAAAAAAATCACAGGGTTACATATCGGGCGAAAAAGGCGGTTGTTGCAACACGGCGATCCCTTTAGTGACCAAATACTGGGACACGCTGAGGGCGGTGTGGCGCGGAGCGTTGTCGTGATGAGGGATCTAGTTACATTCATTACTTTTTATCGCTGCTTGGCGCCAATTGGAGATACCTGGCTGTACGGTTCCTGGTACTTCCAACGCAGTGGAGGTCTTCCTCTTCCTCGGCTTCCACCGGCGGATACAGCATCGAAAAATTTCATGGCTGGAGCATTCTCATCCATCTGGACCACATGACCTAGCCAGCATAGCAGTTGTTTCTTAATTCGCTGAACTATTTCAATGTCGCTATATATCTCAACAGCTCATCGTTCCATCGACTGCGGTATTCCGCGTTACCAACTCGTAGAAGACGTAAATCTTACGCAAAACCTTTCTCTCGAAAACTCCTAACGCCGACTCATTAGATGTTGCCATCGTCCATGTTTCCGCACCATATAGCAGAACGGGAACGATGAGCGCCTTGTAGAGTTTTGTCTTCGTTCGTCGGGAGAGGACTTTACTTTTCAATTTCGGTCTACTCAGTCCAAAGTAGCGCCCGTTGGCAAGAATGATTCTTCGTTGGATTTCCAGGTTCACATTGTTGTTAGTGTTAATACTGGTTCCAAGATAGATGTGAATATCTGGCCAATAATGAATTTTTCGGATCTAAAGGCACCTTGTGGTAGTTAGTGCAGAGCATACTTAAGTGCCAATCGTAGACCTACTTCCCATATAACCCACCCGCATTTTAGAGCACCCGCGTTAGATTCGAAGCAGTTTCCTCTTTTATAATTAATTTCATTATTTAATTGCATTTTTATTATTTTCTTTTTTTTAGAAAGTTGGCGGTTGGCGTAAAATGTGGTTTGTGCTCCAGGACAAATTGTTGCTCTCCTATGCCTCGAAGGAGGAGTATGATAATAAATTGGTCTCATTTAAAGATGTACTTAATCTGGTGCCGGGCACAATGGTGCGTCCAATGGGTGGTTTTCGTTTTACCATCGAGACCACGACACATGTGATGTATACTTTTGTGAGTATTCGAAAAGAAAGTCTTACAGATTTATTATTTACTACATATATATGCACATATTCATATTATAATTAACTTATGTATACAAATACCTAATTAAGTACTAAATGAGTAATGGATAAAAAGAAAAGTATTAATCATCCACGAGGCGATAAAGGCACTTTGTTGTAAATATAATAGCAAATGTTTATTAATATCCAATAACTATAATGAGAAATTAGTCAATATATATACATATATTGTAATTGAGTGTAAAATTATGGTGTCACAGCGCTCTTGGTGTTGAGTGTCGAACTAAACTCAACCTCCATCTGGTACATAAGATGTCATGACAGCCAACCATCATAACCTAACCTAACCCAATTATTGACGTGTTATTCAAGACGTGACATTCATGACATCAACGGCAGTCAGATTATATGGTGATCGTAGTATTAATCTACTTGGAAGACACTGCAATGGTCCGGTAGTCTCATGCTCAAGTTGAATATAGTGAGGGATAAGTGGATACCGAAGCCTCTTGTAAGGATGGCCACTACTGGTTTAATTAAAATATTTCAATTTTCACATTCCTTCCGCTCAAGGAACTTGTTTAAATTAAGTTAAACTCGCTAGCTGATGCGGCTTACAACGACTCCTTCCTTTGCAGTGGCAGTTGGAGGTTCGTTTCTTTGCAATCTACTATAGCAGTCATCCTATAGGAGGTCAACGCCTTTCACGTAGTTTAAGGCAGCACTAATATCTAATTGTGACCTCAAACTAGTCCGTTACCAACTTCCAAAAAAGTTAGGGAAAATTAATTATAATAAAAAAATTAACTTAAATTTTGTAATTGCTGTCGCCACTTGCCAGGGTTTTTTAACCCCTCTGAGTGTATTTCGGACATGAAATAAAGGCTCCTCACGAAAAAACCATCCTCCGTTCGGAGGCGGCTTAGTATAACCTTAGTATAACCATCCATTTGTTGGAAAAACATCAAGATGTAAAACCACAAATTGGAGGAGGAGCTCGGCCTAAGATCACTTCAGCGGTTACAATTATATAGTCCGTTGAACTGTGAAACTTCAATATATCTAAGACGAGTTCTAGCTAAGGCTAGAGAATGTGCTCTAAACTCTCATTCCTGTCTTTCTCATTGCACTTCCGATTTGTGTCATTGCTACTAATACGCAGTCTGCTTGCATGGAATGTCAGACGGAGTCCGGCAGTCCTTACGCAAACGTATAAGCAAGAAATAGGAGTATCCTTGGTTGTTTTGCATGTCGCTAATGCGTTCCATCTAACTCTGATTAGGCACCCAGCTGCTACGGCGAGTTTTGTATATGCTGTTATGATTCGACAATTTCATCACCAATTTCGATGCACATAATGTTTTTGTGCCCTGAGACCCGTTTACCCTGTCTATGTCTATTACTTCCCTGCTTCTAAGGATATTTTCTGTTGCAGTACAATGTGAGATTTAATTGCCGCTTGACTTGTTAGCTAGCTTAGCAGCTTTGCCTATAGATTGAAGGGTTGACGGAGGTATAAGTCAGCGCAATATATGCAATAGACGCCCATTTCATCAGCCATTTTTCGAGACATCCCCTCGCGCGTCCCATGGTCTTACGTCATCCATCCTCCCAAAAGTAGCTCGAAGCTCTCTATCTCAAATATAGCGAGGGGATATGGAGTACATTTTGTCTTTCTTCCTTCTACATATTGAGACGTGTGGAAAGCTTTTTGCGTAGAATTCATCTAAAGCCATCAATCTCATTACTGATTTCGCTGTAGTGGTCTCAACTGCGAGGACAATTGGTGGTAATGGGAAGTCAAGCAACTTTTTAAGTTCCCCCGTTGGATTGGCCTTAATGTCATTGTTTTCTTGACGAGATTTTGTTAGCACCGGTCGACCACACCAGAGCGCCGTATAGTACTATCGGCCCCATTTGAATTTAGCTCTTCCTTGTTTGTTGCTTTTAAATTGTTGCCTTTAATTACTTTACTTTATTGCTTGAGCAATTTTACTTAATTCATTCAACTGAAATAAAATTAATTTATTACACCGTTTCATTGCAAATTCTTCGCATTTTTCCTCCTCAAACGTCGCACATACATACATACACTCATATGTATATACGATGTACCTTCATGCAGCACTGCGATGATCGCAATGCTTATCGCGAATGGATTACCATGCTTTTGGATAGTTTATCCGCCACAACAACAAGAATGAGTAATAAAATCATATCCGCCAACTCCTCCACAACAGCCTACTCACTACCAATACAACAGCAACGTTTCCGCAATACATCCGTCGACAATATACCGCATGCGTTATGGTCGAATGTGGGGCAGAATTCACAGCGGCAGCGAGAGCTCTCGGCCAGTTGTGACTCAATGCGCCGGCGTGTTGAACTGATGGATGCGGGTGTTGGTGGTTCTGCTGGTGGTAGTGGTGGTGGTAATGGCAATTGTGAGTACGCGTATCTGGAGCGTCGCAGCATGGCGAATATAAAAACATTATCAAATGGAATGAAATCGACTTCGCGGCCGCTGTTGAAGCCAGCGTTGTCGTTACCCATCCCCAAAAGTGGGGGAGTAACAATAGCTGGTAGTAGCGGAGGTGGTGCAGCGGCTGCGGTGCGATTGCCAATTGCGCGCAGCACAGCAAAATTATTGGAGCGTAACGGCGTGAATTCAAGCGGTCCGATGAAAAAACAACAACAACAACAGCAGCAGACACTTTACCAAAAGCGGCAAAAGCAGCAGCAGCAGCAACAGCAAGTGAACTGTTGCAACAGGAGTAGTGGCACAACCGGCAACGCAACAAGTGGTAAAAGCCGCAATATGAACAACAACAACAACAATAATAAAAATAATAATATGAATAATAATAACAACAACAACGACGACAACATCATAGATGCGCGTTTAACTACTGAAGCGAGGTAAGTACATACATACATACATACAAACATACATACATACATTTCTATATATGCGCATGCAACAAAACATACATATGTAGTACATATGTATGTATATATGCTCGTACATTCGTATGTCTGTTTGTGCAATAAATAATAGCAACAATAGCAATAACAATAAGAGAAACTATGCGCATATGCAATTCAAAACTTTTCAAAAATATCTACCTTTCCCACTTGCCACATACCACTTAACATACTCGTATAATATTAACATTACATAACGGCATTTCAGTGCGACGTCCACGGCGACCCACTTCCGTTTGCATGGTGAAAGTAGTGAATGCGATGAATTTACCACGCTCGACAGTGGTCAGAGCTCTTCATGTGCCGGTAGTAGCGGTGTTAGTACTGCGAGTAGCTGTGGATCTTCCTCGGCTTCCGCATCTGCCTGCCATCAACCGGTTAATTATTCAGTTTTGAAAATAAATAGTATGTTCCAAAAGCATTGCCCCAATCAATCATCCTCCTCAACAACGGCGGCTGAAAATGCAAGCATAAGTCGTCACCTCGGTGTGGTGAATAAAGAATATCCAGACTATTCAAAGTCTACAACAACGAACTGTGATCTAAATGAATTTATTCCAAAGTATAAGCTACAAAACAACAAAAATAGCAACATAAAATGCTTGCGCAGCAACAAAAATTCATTGCTAACAGATGACGGCGGTTCGGTAAGTGATGATGCCGCGGACAGCAGTTGTGGCGCTTATTCCAGTTGCATTAAAGATAGGTAAGCAATCAAAAGAGCATACCCAATAGGAAAACTAGAATTAAGTTCGTTAGGTATAAGCTGATTCCCGTAAAATATAAAATTTCACGGCAGGGATGCAAAAATGCCAATTAGTTTTGGCCTCTTAATTACCTAACAAGTTTCAGACAAGCAGAACAGACCACACAATTTTTGTTTAATATTATGTCCGAAGTTGGCCTCCCCATAAAACATACTATGTTTTGTAAACTGAAGCTGAACAGCAGAAAAGGGGACCCTCCCGAACCGTTCTATACCAAAGGAGGTTTCAGACTTGTGACTTCTTTAACTTAGTACTGGAGAAAAAAGCGAGTTGCAGAGTTAAACTGATAAACAACAATCTTCTATAAGAGTGTACAACTGCGATGATATTGACATCACCGGCCTCAACAACAGCACCGTTAGTACTCTTTCGGCCAAACTTGATAAAAAATTTAGAAAAAAGGGTATGGTGCTATGTAAGGTTAAGACGAAATATCTCCTGTCATCAAACAAAAACTCAACGCATTTGCCCATTGGTTCCCGCGCCACTATAATTTCAAAGTAGTCGACAATTTCGTCTATCTAGGGGAAAAGACATTGACATTGTTATCAGCCTTGAAATCCAACGCAGAATCACTCTTGCAAACAAGTGCTATTATTGACCGAGTAGCCTATTGAGTAGTGAAATCCTTTTCCCTCGACGAACAGAAACTCACATCCTGCTATATGCAATGACCTAAACGGTGACTACTCTACTGGATAGGTCATGTCGACGGTATAGGCTACATTACTCCAGCTTTGAAAGTTTTCGACGCAGTACGCGCCTCTGGAAACAGAGGAAGAGGGAGACCTCCCAGTCATAGAAACATTTTCGGTAACGAAAAGCTGACCAACTGTCCAAATTGGTAGCTTCGCTGGATGAATAGGACTTATTAAATATGTCTAGTTAAAGGCTTACCTATTTGTAGAGCAAGTATTCGACTCTTAATAATGGTACTCCTAGAACTCTCTCTTACCTAGAGGGTGCTCTATTAATTTCAACCGGAAAGTATCGGCTCCGGTGTTTCAAGTGTTCCGTCAAGGAATTTGAATAAAAGCAATCAAAGCAACAATTCATTTCATTGCTATTGGAATCTGGGGGTATTTGGAACCTCATGTACTCGAAGCAAAATATACCAAACAGAGTGTTAGTGCTTTCCAAATTCCGCTTCACGAAGCACGAAGTACGAAGCGGACTCGTTTTCAATCGTATTCTTACAAACAATGAAGAATTCATTCTTAACGACAATCGAAAGGGGAACAATTTGTCTGAATGTTAGACAAGGGCAAACTGCATTACCGGTAGTCAAAAATGTGTGGTAAGAAGATAGATCAGCCGAGAATTTCGCACCAGGAGCATCTTAAACGTGGCCTGACAATCAACGAGATTTCCTGGAGATTGTTACAGAAAATCAGACCGAACAGGCAACAAAACGTGAGTCATCATTCTTTCGCTATGATAATGAACAGTGCATTTCCAGTTGGGACGCGCATATAAAAGGGAAAACATATGCCACATTTGATTATTTATGATTGTACGCCCCCGTATGTGTAGCGAAGAGTAAATAAAATTGTAAAGCTTTTTTCAATATACACGTATGTAAATATGCCAAGCGGATAAGAGTTTCTCTATAAATAGGCATATGCGAGACACTTCCTAATACAAGGAAAATAAAAGAGTAATTGAGTTTGGTAAGGCGAAACAGATGGGACGCTACATGATCATAGTTATTTGGCTGAAAAATGGAAAAAAGAATAAAGCACTAAGGCATAAACACTTCCTTTACGACTCACTCCATTATTTTTTGTTGGTTATATATCTTCTTGTGTTATACCCCCACTTGGATACTTTAAATAAAGTCAGGTCACTATTCCACTGAGATTTCTTTATGGGTACATCGTCAGCGGTATTCCCCAATGCCAGTTCCAGTAAGAAGCCTATCTCACGAAAAATTGCTGTGTCAGCAAATCGGTTCATTGTATTTGTTCAAGACTCTGCGACATAGCATAATCGAATCTTCTCTGCTAGCTTCTTATACACCTATAAGAAAGTACTTGGAATTGATCATTTCAAAACGTTAGCTGATTTAAATAGAGTACAATTTTCAGGGGTTAAGTCCGCCCAGCTGGTCTCCTTATCTGATTCGGCTACCTAAACACAAATTATCTTAAACTGAACATCTCACTTCATATTAGTCTGACAGTCAACAAATCCAAAGGTATACTGGCGTATATTATATAAAACGGTGGTCAAATGAACGCAAGGATGCCTTTGTTACTAAAGCTTTGTATACATCATTAGTAAGGCCTATACTGAAATATGGCTCGATAATTTTTGAGCCCCAAGTACGAAATATTAGGTCAAGTAAGAAGTTCGTGCGGTTTTTTTCATTGATTTTTTAAAATATTGTATAACAACTTTGTGTACATTTGTCCGACTTAAGTCAAATATGCGCCGTTTTGTTCGTAAACTTGTTGCCAACCAGATGCCAACTTCATTTTACCTCTCTCGTAGAACGCTGCGTCCCTATTGGCGAAAAACTCGGGGAGCCAATTTTCACCGGCCTCTCTTGAGGCCAATTTCTCACCATTAAGCGCGTTCGCCATGGGCAGGAAAATATGGTAATCTCTTAGTGCCAGGTCTGGACTATAAGGTGGGTGCATCCGAGCCCCGGGAGCTTCTGGCGCTTCACCAAAGACGTGTGTGGCCTGGCATTGTCCTGATGGAACACAATTCGGTCGCTTTGGCTGCTTTTTTACCTTGATCGAAGGAAAATTTTAAAATATAGTGAATTTTCTCTTTGCTGGTGTCCATCTTTGACGAGCGCTTACAACGCACCCATATTTCTAGAGATTTGTAAAAAATAATTTTGATTTTCACAAATCTTTTCATTGTTTGTGTCTCGATTTCAGCACCAACATTTAAATTAGGTTACTTCTAAGGAAGATGATCAAGTCATACAATGTTGCTGGGCTTTCATATTACTGAGTCATTGCTTGCCCACTCACAAGAGATATAGTCAGAGATTAATCGTTTTTTGATACTAAAAGCCTACCATGAAAATGATATTATTAAGGTCTGGAAGTAAGCTAGGTGTAGTCGGACATTAGTAGCTACTCAAAGTCTTCCTCTAAATTAGCTGAATGCTATTCCATTGATTTGCGCTTAGGTTAAACGAGTAAGAACGATATGCCGCCACATAGATGTAACCGCATCGTCCAACTTAAAACAGCTAGCAGCCGCAATATATTTACTAACATGATGCAGGATCTACGAACGATCTATTCAAATCATTTGTCGTCAATTTGTTCCCTTGTATACTCTCTCTAGACAAGAAGCTATCGATGTAATAAATTTCAAGCAAATCCAACTTTCTTCCAAAAATTCAACGAACCATAAAAATTTTTGTCTTGATAAGATCGGTACCGAGAAATTTCCTGTAAATCGAACTCTAAACTCGATTTTTTTTAATATAATACATTACTCCCAGGTTCACTTCCCGGACGAAAAAGCAATTTTTATATTAATTTAGGCAAACAGCTACCTGTGTTCTTTAAGCAAATCTACAGATAAATATATAACGAGGCAACTCTTTAAAAAGTATAAAAACTTCACTGGTAAGCTTTCCGGGTTTCAATAAAGCCATCTTGCAAATTAGAACCAAATCGGCTCGGCAGTTTCTTTCATGTAAAACCATATATGGATACTGTAACTCAGAACTGAGCATACAGTTCCATTCCGCTGTAGGGTACCATCATCAATGCATAGACAATAAAAACCACTCACTGTCTATAAAGACCACAAAATCATTTCGATAGGGTGGACACGTCAATCGGCTGGCTGTGGCAGTGAATGAATATATAGAGTTTGTGCTCAGAATACTATAAACAATGCAGACGTTTAAAGACTAAAATATTGCATTTGTGCTGTGAATATACCCTGTAGGGAAAACTACTAGCCGTTAACTCGAATCTACTAAATAGTTCACCTTCCCACTTTTCTATGTAAGCAGCTGGTATTTTTAACATGGCATCATGTCGCCCAATTCAACAGAGCATTACAGGGAAAGGAACTCTGTCATGGCGTGCTAGATATAACAACAAAATATAGTGTTGGAAACTATTATTATTTACGTTATTGATGGACTGCTATACAAATAACCAATTAGCACGAGGAAACGTCCTCTATTGGAGAAGGAGAGCGGCAAGACCTCAATCATCTGCGCCACTGGTGAAAGGAGAGATATCGGCCGATGTGATTATCCCTTGTTTGCCGGTTTAAGCAGCGGGACCACACTAACCATTTTCCACATATCGGAGATTGAGAACCTTGGCTAGGTAGCTTGCACTCGCTGGCCCCAGATATTTTAGCATCAGCATTTTCATTCCGTCGGGTCGACGTATTTGGAGGATATCACCTTTCCGGTTTCCCCTTGTGGTTTTCCTGTTTTCCTACCGAAGGGTGCAGTGTAAAAATTGGGCCATTTCTATGGCATAAAGTAGGCGGCGGCAGAGACGATTATTTTGCGGAATGTGCCTTCATTTACGGTGACAAGGTTAGAGTGGAGAAAAAAGTCAAGGCGGTTTCGGTAAATTCCGTGAAGCCGTGGTCCAAAGAAACCAAAGTCGGGCGGCGAGACAATTAAGGACAAGTGGTCCGAAGCTAGCGTCAGCATAGGTCTCCAGACTATATTGTGAAAGTTGTTGGCAT